GATAATGTCACCCTCACTCAGTCTTTATTGTGTGTGTCTATTAGCCTCTGCATTTGTGTTCAACATCACAGAAACCTTGATGTTGGACCATAAAACTACCACTTATAATGACATTCATTTGTTTTAATAACTGTTGAATTAAGGTGGAGACATGTTATCTAACACATGCTCAAGGGAAAAGACAAATATTAAATATACATTCCACAGTGAGGCATAGTTAACAGCAGGCGACAGGGACAGATATGAGCCGGCCTGTGTCTGGCTGATGTTACCGTGATCAGTTCACCTGTATTGTCTTACCTGCAGCTGACTCACAGCATCTATAAAGCTCTATAGTGTCAGTGACTCTCAGTGACTTAAAAAGGAACCATGACTCAGTCTTGATGTCCTGGCAGAGGAAATGAAATAGATGTGCTGACAAAATAATCTCAACTCAAGGTCCACTTACTCGCTTGTTCTGGAACTTTTGACCGTTATCACATAGTTCTCATAAGCAGTCTGAATTTGCTTAGTTGCCATGACGCTGTACATTTTCCAACATTTACACGACTGCGAACATCTCCTGGACTTCTCACCCATATTGATTTAAAAGTGAATCAACAGACCTAAATGAGGACTCTGTGATATGGTCGAAAGATACGGAATAAGCAAATATAAAGACCTTGATTTGAGACTATTTTGACAACTGCTGTTTTCAAGGTCAAGAATGAACTGCACAGTGCAAGGTGATATCTGTGTTTAATTTGTAGTTACTATAACACTTTGTCAAGATTTGATTGTTAATTAATTGTGCAATATGCACTCCAAAATGAATCCAAATCCACTGATTCAGAAATAACCAATTACAGGGACGTGCTGGCTGCAGCCTTTGTCATAGCTTATTCCCTCTCTCCCCTTTCGCAGATATCCCGTCATCCCTCTACTGTCACTGTCCAGTAAAGGCTAAAATGCTCAAACAAGGTAAACAAAGTAACCAGTCAGCGATCTTCATAACTGGTGCTGAGCCACAGGAGACTACAGACACATACTGTACATACTACTGTAGGTCTGTGTAGCCAAATATCACACTATTACCTCTATATCAATACTATCACTATACTCGTGACTAGTGGTGCTTTCAAGGGAAATGTACATACAAGAGTTTTCAAATAAATTATTAGTTATTTGGATAATGGTCGCTAATAAGATGCTGACATTCATTCATTCAGCTACATAAGTTACTTGTGGTAAATGTAATTACATTTATTACTTGTTATGATATATGTTATCCTTACAACTATGAAAAATATATAGGATATGATGATAACCAAAATCAATATCTAGTCTAATTAAGAGTTGAAACAATTAGTCAATTGATTGATTGGTTGATTGATTAACTTAATCTGCAACAATTTAGATGATTAATTTATAATTTAAGTCATTTTATAAGCAATAAAAAACTAAAAATCATTGGTCCCAGCTTCTCAAATGTGAGTATTTGCTGCTTTTCTTTGTCTTGCATGATAGTAAACTGAAGGTCTGTTAGTAAAGCAAAACAATCAATTTCAAATTGGACATTTTTCACCATTTTATAGACAATACAATTAATTGATACATCAAGACAATAATCATATTAATCAATGATAAAAATTGCAGACCTTGTCTCATACTCATTATATCATTGCACTGCATCTGTCATGTCTACAGTGATCAAAAGCACTTTGAATCTTGTCATCCTTTCCACTAGCTTTGATGCCACATGTCAATCGAACCATCGAGGAGGACTGGTGCCCTATGCTTCGAGAAACAAGAGGCTGATCCAGGATCAGAGTGAATGGTAAGGCATGACCACGGGGGCAATGACCTGCCAACCCACAAACATGCTGTGACATCACTCTAAGGAGGTCATGGTAATCAGATTATCCCCCATTACACAAACTCCCTCACTCACTCGCCACTGTGAGTCTGACCGACAGCAACACTCAGCGGGTTAAAACACAGAGTCACACACGCTCGTAGACACACCTTGAAAAACGTCAACTGGAGATGGGATAATTTTAGAAGAAAGTATCTGAGTGAGCCAAAAATAAAACTCCTGTGTTGTAAGAAATGTTCGCAAAGCTTCAAACACACGTTCACTCAGTGAGCAGCAGTGTCACGTTTTGCCGAGATGAATTCCTCAGTGGGAGAATGAAGATTGTTTACTGAGCGGAGAAGACAGAGGAGAAGCTCGGGGGCCTGAGCTGTTCTGTAACCGCAGTGATGCCAAGTGGTCGGCGGTTTGAAGAGGACACCTGAGACCAGCGCACCTGGACAATGAGCTGAGGTGTAACCCTAAACTGAGATGAACCGCTGTTTATCCCCCACGCTCTCCTTCTCTTGTTCTTTCCCATCAGTCTCCTCTCTCGCTTCATACATCTATGCCCTCTCTGGTCCCCGAGCTTATTTTCTCTCCACAACCTGATCTATCCCTCCGTGTTATTCTCCCAATCTTTTGACTCACTACCTCTCTCCTCTGTCTCTGTCTCACTTTCTTCCGATGCTTTCCCCTTCTGGGCATCGCCAGGCTAATGCAAACAGCTCTCTCAGTGTGAGCGTGAGTCATATAATCACATACTTAACGATAAGCACCCACACATTTTCAGTAAGATTCATCATTCAGAGGGAAAAAAGGGTCCAAGCCCTTCCTGCGACATTCCTGCATTTCTTCAGTTGCTATTTTCACACAGACAATACTCTAAATTGGGGGACTGACATTTTGCTCAGCAGCTGACAGCGGCTAGCAGCTGTATGACTCAGTGACACAGAAGCAGTGCCCATGTCACCATGGAAAGGCAGCGTTATGGTGTTGTTGCCAAGGCTCTGCTGTCCAATACGCATCTGATCCCTCATCGTTACTGTTAGAGCCGCACATGGCGGAGGGAGAGTAAAGAGATGGGAACAGGGGTATGCATGTTTGAAGGTCAGATGTGATAGAAAAGTGGGAGACTCAAGAAGACCAAGAGAAGGATTGAAGATTAGGAGACATTTCAGATGATCAGCAGCATGTGTGTTTGAGCTACACTCTCTTCTGCTGTCTCCCTCTTTAAAAAAGCCTTTAGTCAGCATCCTGCATACTCCACCCATATTTGTACACTCCCTCCCCCATCACTCATGTCACTTGTGATAAACACACATAGTCTGACCTGCATGTATACACACACACACACACACACACACACACACACACACACACACACACACACACACACACACACACACACACACACACACACACACACATACAAATGCACTTAAGATGCCTGCTGTGTATTATTTCTTTGATGCACCAACAACTGCAACTGCGTCTTTAAACAGCAAGTAGCACAAAGGACCAAAAATAGCACAGTGAGTTGCAGAGCAGAACTGCTCTCCTTGAAGAGGGGAGGAAAGAGGAGGAAGAGGAGGAAAGGCAGGAGGAGGTGCAGAGAGAGATGACAGGGAAAAGATGGCAGAGGGAGACCAGTTCTCCAGGACTTAAGCCTCCCTGCTGTGTTCAATTTAAGTTTCCCATGCACTGTCAGCCCTACTAAAAGCTCACATTGTACACTGGAATGCAATGACAACACTTGATAATCACATTTCTGCAGTGCCATAAAATGATTAGGAGAAGGCCTAATGTTTGTACATTAACAACTGTCCACTTTATTTGTCCCAATGGATTTCTCATATATGGCAGTCCATAACTGTACAGACCAAGTAACAGTTGTGACTGCAAATAAAGCATCTACACCACAGCAGGCCCCTTTTAGAAGTGAGGCAATGCATCAATATAGCAATATATTGCAGTATTTGCAATTGTTTATCAATGCGTTTGTTACAAGTGTAAGGTATTACTCTTATCTGAGTTTACTATAAATTATTGATTTATGCTGTTTGAGATTTTTCCGTTTTAAATAAATACTTTGACATTTTGGGAAATAACACTTATTCTCTATCTTGCCAGTAGTTAAATGAGAAGTGACATCACTTTCATATCTGTATGGAAAATATGGAGCTATAGCCAGGAGGCAGTTATTTCATCTTAGCATAAAGACTGGAAACTGGGGGGAACAGCTTGTCTGACTGTCCAAAAGGTTACAAAATGTTCTCCCAGCACCTCTAAAGCTCACTAAGATATTAGACTCCAGGAAACAACTGCACCATGCCAGTGAATAATCCAGCACATAACCCACCGTAAAACCAAAATGTGACGTTTTTACACTTTGGTTTTTGTATGAATCAAATAATCAAGACATAACATATTAGTCAGAGAGCTTTACACACACTGGTAGGTGGATTTTGTCTCCTTTGGACAGAACCAGGCTAGCTTTCCACTTGTTTCCAGTCTTTGTGCTAAACTACGCTAACTGCCTCCTGATTATAGCTTCATATTTATGCGCTCCCTCACATCTGTACCCGATGTTTGACCCCAACTAGTCAGCTCCATTTACAGTAGATGAAACCTATGTGAGCTGTGTGAGCTTAAAGGTTCAAGGTACTGACCTTGGAAATTGTAATGTGTAAACAGTCTACCTAATGATAGTACTTAATCATGTGTCCACATTTAAGCCATGTGATAATGACTGAAACATCTTCATGACAACAGAGAAGATCTTATCAGCTGATGATTACCATGAGTTGTGGCTGAGAGGTGAAAATTTTTAGGTACGTGGACCCTATGCTGAGAAATTTGGGGTGTTACAATTACAAATGTTTCTGGCCTGACAAAAACCCAGCTCAGACCAAAACATTGTATGGTGTACACCTGGAGTGTCTCAGCTCTGCTCAGCTCTTGTGTTTTGTCCAAATTATTGTATATTTTACAAATAAAACTGGTTTAAGTTTGTTAAAGAAGACCATCTGACCCTTGACCTTACAGTATGTGCTTCACCCCCCAAAACAACTCCTCTTCAGTTTTTGTAAAACTGCAAGAGTCAGATCTTATCATACGTTTTACTTATTTACAGAGAAGATAAATGACACTTGGTTGGGGTACTTACTATTGCTGGACTTAAGGTCTCTGTGGATGATAGGTACAAATGCCTGGTTGTGTAGGTAGTCCATCCCCGTGGCAATCTGAACAGCCCAGTTCACCAGAACCCTCGGGGGAACCTTCTTTCCAGCCAGGGCCCGGTTCAGAGCCCCTCCTCTGGCATACTCCATCACCAGGCACAGGTTGGGCTCCCGCAGGCAGACCCCACGGAGTGCGATTATGTTGGGGTGCCGGAGCATCCAGAACAGCCTGGCCTCCTGCCGCACGCTCTCTGCTGTGGCACTGATATCCTCATCAGGGTCCTGCCTTGCAGCCTTTACTGCTACTTCCTCTCCCCGCCACACTCCTTTGTATACTTTTCCAAACCCACCAGCTCCTATCACTTCCTCCAGGAGCAGTTCTGAGAAGTCTATCTCCAAGGGGCATTCACCCACCCCACCTGCCACCAGCCCTCCTGCGGTCAGCTGCTGGTAGCTGGCAGCGTCCCCCCTCGTGACGTAGTTACTTGGAAAGATACCCACCTTGTCCTGGATCTTGCCTGTCCACCAACCCTCATCCCCAGACACTTTTGAGTCTTTGGAGAGAACCTCAAGAAGGTCCCCACGCCGCAGGGTTAACTCCTCATCTGCTGTGGCCTCATAGTCAAACACTGCCGTCCAGTAGGGGTTGGGGTTGTTGGCCCCACAGCGGTGACCAGGGTGGGAATCTGGGGAGCCGGAGGAAGAGATGGTGGAGGAGTTCCAGCTGCTGCCATTCTCCACCTGCACAACCGGAGCCGGAAACATCGGCGGCGGAGGGGTCATATTCGGGGGCATGGAGGAGGAGGAGGTAGTAGAGGAGGGGGGCCCAGGCGGGATTAGGCAAGGGGGAGGCGGGGAGCAGCAGCCCCCACAGCTGGTGCAGGACAGGGGGGCTGCTGTGCTGCTCGCTCTGCCGTATGGGTTCATGGCAGCCTGACTGCTGTTTGACGCTGTCGGCCTGCCCTCTGTCAACTCAGGCACAAAATCCATACAGGGCCCATTGACTGAGACGAGGTGTCCTCGACCACCAGCAGGGGGGAGAGGGGATCAGAGGATCAGAGAGCTGCAACTGCTCTCCCCCATCACCACATCTCGCTGTTGAAACTGTGCCAAATCCTGTCACCGGTTGCTGCTGTGCTGTTGCTACGCAGTGTGTAAGTAACATGTATTCCCAAAGGCAAGTTCATTCAGGGACAATGTACATCAGGTCAAACAATGACTCTCAGATCAGAGCAGAAGAGCAGAGCAAATCAATGAGTGTAACCCCTGGAAACCTAATAGATTGTTTCCACAATTGTGTCTTTTAAAAAGCTGCCACAGGCTGTCACAGGAGACATGAATATGGGTTTATCTAAGAAGCAGCAGGTCTAATGAAATCTTTTGTAAAGATCACTTCAGTCTGATGAGTTCCTGATCAGAGAATGAACTGTGAAATTAAATCCATCCGACATTATTTCCCTCTCTGGGATCTCAATTTCTGCCTACAATTAATAAAACAGTTACATACTTATTATGAATTACCCCTACATTGCTGTTCACACAAATTTAACAAAAGCAAAATCTGGGCCTGTGATGCCTTTATAGTTTTGAATCTCCTGAGCTAATAAATACATATCCTCTTCTGTACTTAATATCATCCCATTGAGAACTAATGTCTTGACTACAAAGCTATAGAGACATCCACAGTTGTTAATAAAAACCACAACTGATTGTCAGATTAATTTCAGTATGGAACAGACTATTTAAGGTGCCAATAATGTTTGAGCTGAGTGAAATCCTCTGAGCAGGGGTCCTCATTATTTCTCATCCAGCCCACTGTAGACGCATCTCCCCTGCCAGCCATCCCCATGAATATGAGCTGTTTTCTCTTCTATATTGCGTTTGGAAATATCCGCGGATATTCGCCCTACATCCCAACAAGCCGGTCCAGGCTAAATCCTACATGCATGGCCACTCATGAGCCGGTTCAGAGTCCCTGAATAGCCTTTACCAAAAAGGCCCCGTCCATTTTAAGACAGCTGGGGAATTACAGAAACAAGCTGACGGCAGGGCAGCAGGTATTCAATACAGAGCTGTAAAGTGGCACCATGTTCAGCATCCAGCCGAGTCTGAACACAACAAACCCGCCTCCGTGTCTGTGCAGCGGCCTGGTCAAGTCGCCTCTGCTGGGCTACATTTGTGATGGAGACGAGTCCTCGGTGGGAAAAGAAACTCTTGTGCTCCAGAGATATTAAAGGGATGCCAGCATTTATCATTATCCTGCTGCTTTCTCAGCACGCACGCTAGTTTCAGATCATCAATCGATAGTGTTGTAGCGAAGGTGAGAGTTTTAAATGTCCGCGACTCCCTCAAGAAAGGCAGCAACAATCACACGGTGCCAATAAGGTAGAAAATATTGTCAACGAAGGCTTGCATGGAGGCATTGCTGCATTACAGTAGGCTATCACTGACCCGAGTGGACGAGATGAAATAATGCGATGAAGAGATCCACTGCGGCTCCATGTTGCCTTTATCAATAGACTGACACCTCCTCTCCATAATAATAATAATAATAATAATAATAAAAAAATAATAATAATAATAATAACAATAATAATAATAAAAATGTTATTTATTATGCGCACATAATCTTGTAGGTATCCCGTCCCAGCTTGCGTCTTCCGCCCCAAACAGCCTAAACAGCTTTATTTTAATACGTTAACATTTACCGTTTACTATAACCTAACCCGGACACTGAGGGCAGCAATATCCACCGACATCATCGCAGGGGCGTGTGGTTGCATCCGAGTAAGAAGGACCATCAAGGACTGTAACCCAATTTGGCGACAAATTGAAACGCTCTCGGGAGTCCCTGTCGTTGCTGCTCAGCCAGCTGTCCAGACGTCCATCGTATTCAAACAGGCTTTTCCTCCTCAAAGACGTGACATTTCGAGCACCGAGCTGTCAGTCTGTGGGCTGACTTTGCATCCAAATACACCGGGATGCCGTTCCCATACGTGGGGACAAGTGCTACTTCTTTCACTGATGTACAAATTACGGGGATGGCTGTGGCATTCAGACTGTCCAAGCACTTAGCCCCAGCACATGTGTGCAGATCTAGGGAGCAGCTCAGCGTGCAGGGCGGAGACAAGGACGCCTCAGTCTGTTGGAACGAGACTAGGCTGTGCTAGTGGTGAGGGTGTGCTGCTGCACTGTGGGTAATGTAGTCTCCAAGGGATCTCCTGCTGACCTACATCATTCTGGCAGCTGATATAACTAAATAATTAACGATATTAAGGAAAAGGCTGAGCGGTGGTGGAAGGTAACCAAGTACACTTACTCAAGTACTCTACTTAAATACAAATTTGAGGTACTTTTTGAGGTACAATTTTCTGCTACTTTACACTTCTGCTCCACTACATTTATTTGATATCTTTAATTACTTTGTCAATTCAGATTAATAATACAAATCCTTACCTATAAATAAATTATGATGTATTATAGATTTAGGTAAGACTTAAATGATCCCGAGGCTACCTTGCAGCAGGCATATATAAAGTGATGTACACATTATAGAATAAATAATTATAGTCCAATAATATAATATACTGTTTAGAAATGCGGCATTCTGCACAATATATAGTTTCACTTCTGGTACCTTAAGTATATTTGTGTCCCAAAACCTTTTTACTTTTACTAAAGTAAAATTTTAATAGCAGAGTATTTCTACACTGAGGTATTACTGCTTTTACTGAAGTTGAATATCTGAGTACTTCTTCCCTGTGCGAATGGACAATAATACATTATAATGTAATGTAAAGTGATAAAAGAGTCGTATTTTATATTCTCACTGGAACATTTAGCTTCTTTTTTCTTGTCCACATGGTCAGTGACTAAAGGTTAGTGAGAGAACACCAGCCCTGAAGCTGGCAGGGATTCAGTGTGTTGCTCAAAGACACTTTGGCAGTTTGAGCCTCATTTTGTTCAAGAACAGTGAATCTAATATTATTCTTAAATGAAACAATTACCCTGAAAGGAGCTGGGGTTGTCTATTAAGACTAGAATTAGCACAAACCTGCAAAAATGTTACTTGGGGTTTGCTTTTAGGCAAGGAGAGCACAGAGTGAGGGGAAAATATGATCATTTCCTTGATATTGCATAAGATTGGGTTCTCTGAGAAAATGCCATTAAATGACATGGTTGAGGGTTTTGTGCAACCTGAGTACAGACACAAGATGTTGATGGATTTTGTTTTAGTAATACTTTATAATACAACCTGCAATGTACTGAGTAATTGTGTTGTGTCAGTCAATTAATACATATACTGCTTCCTAGGTACAATGGAAGAAAACAATATGGGAACAGGGAGTAACAACTGGAGGACATGTCACCAGATTTTGTGGGATTTTCAGGACTGCCCACCCCTATGTACAAAATTTTTAGGGTATAATTTTTTCCTTTCTTTAAAATACCTACTTGTTACTCCCTGGTTTCCCATAGTCTAGTTTTCTTCACTGTATTTACATTTAAGGGAAATGTTACCCGATTATACAACACAATAACACTGTAAATTACAGGCTGTATAATAAAGTTTTACACAATTTTTGAATTAAAACAAAGACTACCCTAAAGAATTACTGTTATGTTATTTAAAAAAAAAAATACGCCTCTACTACCTCCTCCTCCTCCAGAATTTCATCGCAATTCAGACTACAATCAATCACTGGGTTATTCAGACAATGTACAGTAGTGGTAGTCACAACCATCAATCTTTAAGCTGTGCTGACCCCTGGTGTCGAATGAGTGAAACTCAAGGACTTGACTGGCGGTTCAGTTTCCTTTTCATTTTCAAATACGGGCTAAAAACACAATCCCACTATATTTTTATTCCACTGTTTTTTGATTTGTAACTCCTTCTAGATGCTCCAACATAAAATTTCCATTCAAATTTTAAAATGTTCAGATCAATTAACATTTAACATTTGTGAACATGCAGCACTGTCCCCTAAAGTTAGAAACCAAAGGGAGAACCTTAAAATGTTCAATTGTCACCCCAGTTTGCTCTATAACAATAAATGGGGCTCTGATGCTGTGAGGCCATAACATTTTTTGTAATTTCATACACCAAAATGAATGTTCCAAATCTTAAAGTTTATATCCAGTTTAAAATCTGGATGAGGCCCTTTATGGGTTACACTACACAGCTACGTAGATTATGGATTTAACAAGGTAGCCTATTTCCCCCAGAGGCTCACAGTAAGTTATATAACTTCAGTAGCCTGAATGATGAAAGCAAGTCTTTGACTTTTTTACACTATGACATTTTCAAACAAGTCTATACTTCCAGATGTTTTTCTATTAGTTCATCATTTTCACTCAATAGCTTTTAATATGGGGGGTTCAATTAAAGAGTAATGCAATTCCTGAATTCCACATTTGTCACTTATGACATTTATTCGATATTTTAATGGAATACATATCCGCTGATAAGAAAGTCAGTACCCCTTGTGTTGTCTATCAAGTAGCCTGATTTGAGGATACTCTCTGATTTCTAGCTTTGGGACAGAGTGATGCATGTTTCCAAATACAAGTTTAACTGTCCTTGGGCACAGGAATAACATATGTGACATTTAAGCCTTTTATTTAGTCAAAATTGCTTTCAAATGAATGAATTGTATGTTTATGAATGCTGTGTTATTATTATTAGCAACTTGAATTTCAGGTACAGCCGCTGTTGGTCTTTTACTTTCACTTACAGATGCAGTTTATGGATTTTTGCTGCAGTTTATGAACTTTGAACATCCCTCCACTATCAGCTGATGTTTGTGGATTATGTTTCACTTGCAGCTGATGTTTCTCTGGACTCTTGCTTCATGTCCGCGGCTTTACTCCATGTCCATGGGAATGTGAGTACTCATGTTGTGTAAATGTGCCATTTAACAGCCATTCAATCCATTTACATCCTGGTTTGGCATGGGGAAAATAGCAGGAAATTGATAAAAGCCATTCTGACTGGATGGCAGAACTGGTAATGGTTCGAGCCCGGCACTTGTGTTGTACTTCAGGCTTAGTTGTGGGGTTGTTGGACTCGGGCCACCAATCGGACTGCACTTCAATCGGATCGCTCTCACTCAAGTCTTTGCAGGAATGATATGAATGACAACAGCATAAAAAATGTTAACTGAAGAACAAACAAACGCAGAAGCTTTTCATACCTGTGACACTGATACTGTGTTTTTAGGAATTTGTTTGAGTTGTTATTAGTTTTGATATTTAATAATCAACTTAACTTCTGAATTTGTCATATAACAGTTTTTAAACTGAGTTAGTTCATGAAATAGCAACTGGCATCAGAGGACTGATAATGTTTAGCGACCACAAGGTTGTGCTATTCACTAATTTGTGAGGATGCATAAAAAAAAATTTGATCATGCAGGATGATAAATATACATGCTTTTCTGATGTTATTTCTGAAATAAGTTCACATTAAGATGTAGTGTGCCTTTAAAATTACAGTAAAACACAGCTCTCTCCACTTTTACATTTACTCAAGTACTGTACTTCTGTACAACTTAGTACTTGTACTTTATTTAAGTATTTCCATTTTCTGCCTCTTTATACTTCTACTCCACTATATAAGGTGATGCTAATTTTAATAACTTTATACACTACTGGGTGGTTTGTGAATTTATCCCCAGTATAAGTAAAATCTTATCACAACCTGTAATAATATAGAATAATATATATATTATTGTTATGAGTTGTATTAATAATCTGAATTTATAAAGTAACTGGTAGCCTAACCAAAGTTATCAAATAAATATAGTGGAGTAAAATTATAAAAGTACAATATTTCCCTCCAAAATGTAGTGGTGTAGAAGTATAAAGAAGCAGAAAATGGAAATAGGGTTACTCAAGTAAAGTACGCGTACCTAAAATGTCTTACTTATGAACAGCACTAGAGCAAATATATAGTTACTTCCCACCATTCATTTTTTTCATGTCTGTTTGCTGCAGGTGCTGAATATAACCTGAATGTTCAGCAGTAGGCTACCTGTTGAACTACAGTGTTATGTTGACAAGTGTTCCTAAATGAATGAGGGTAGTCTAAACAAATGAGGGTAGGCGAAACAAATGAGGGTAGACTAAACAATTTTGTACAATGCAATACAGTTCAACAGCACCACAGACTACATCGTCCAAAACGACCACGCAGTTGAGTCAACACCTCTTTAACACAGTCTTAACAAAAACTAACTGAACATGATAATCTTCATGAAGGAGGATTCATTGCAGGACTGTTGTAATAGACTGTATTATTTTTAGCAAGGTGTTCCTAAAAAACTTCCAGCTGAGTGTTTATACAGTATACAGTATGTCCACA